AAAATTCTATTCTATATATTTATTTTTAAAAGATTATTTTTATTTGATTTATGTGTATGTATATGTGCTATGACTCTGGAGGCCAAAAGAAGGCAACCGATCCCCTGGAGCTGGAATACAGGTGGTTGTGAACTGCCTGAGATGAGTGCTGGGAAGTGAACTCAGGTCTTCTGCAACAGCAGAAAGCAGCATTAACCACTGAGCCATCTCTCCAGCACCGACATTTATTTGTTTTGTTTTTGTGTGTGTATATGTGTGGAGGTCAGAGGACAACTTGGAGAATTTCTTTCCTTATACCATGTAGGTACTGGGGTTTGAATTTAGGTGGGCAAGCACCTTTACCTGCTGAACCATGTCACTGGCCTAAGAATGTTGTATTGTCTGGATACCAGTCCTTTATCAAATAAGTTTTGTGCTAATATTTTCTTTCAGTTTTGATTTTTTTTTTTTTTAATTCTAGCAATGTCTTTCACAGAGGAAATACAAGTTTTTGATCCTGTTTTTCTTTTTTCCTTTGGTTGGGAGAGAGGTACTAGAGATGAAGCCCAGGATCTTGCATGTGTTAGGCAAGTGGTCTGCCATTGAGCTATAAAATAGCTTTCTTTTTTTTTTTTTTTTTTTTTTTTTGAGACAGGGTCTCCTTGTAGCCCCAGCTGACCTGGAACTCACTACATAGACCGGGCTGGCCGTGAACTCATAGAGGTCCTCCTGTCTCTGCCTCCTGAGTACTGGGGTTAAAGGCTTGTACCACCATGCCCCGCTTTTTTTAAAGACAGAGACTCATGTAGCCTTGAACTTGATATGTAGCTTAGGATAGCCTTGAACTCCTGATCTTCTGACTTCACCTCCCAAGTGCTGATATGCAGGCATGTCCCCCACCATGCCTTTTTTCCGTTTCATAGATTATATATGTGTGTAAGACTTTAAGACATCTTTGCCTAATCCAAAACCAAAGTCAAAGATTTTTCTCCCAGAATCTCATACTTTTAAGTCTTAATAGCTTTTGGACCATTTGAAGTAGTTTTTAAGATAAGGGTCTAAGGTGCTGTTTTGGAGTTTTTGTTTATTTTTGCATATGGATGATCAGTACTTCATCACCATTTCTTGAAAAGACTGTCTTTTCTGTGTTGAACTTAGGTCCTTTGCAAGACCATTCATTGCTCACTCTTAAATGTTCCATCTCTCCAGCCCTGTAATTTTACTTGCTTTTTGTTTTATTTTGTTTTGTTTTGTTTTTTGAGACAGGATCTCACTGTGTAAACCCTGCTTGGCCTGGAACTTGCTATGTAGACCAAGCTAGCCTCAAACACAAAGGGATCCACATGCCTCTACCTCCTGAGTATTAGGATTAAAGGTGTGTGCCACCACACCAGGCAGTCTGATTTTCTAAGAAGTTTGGAAATCAAGTAGTGTAAGTCTTCTTCAACATTTTTTTTAAGGTGTGGCAGGGTCTTTTGTATCCCAGACTGGCTCTGAACTCTGTGTAGTCAAGAATGATCTTAAATTTGTGATGATTCTGCCTCAGCTTCTTCAGTACTGGGATTGCAAGTGTATGCTACCATAGTCAGTTTTATTCAGTACTGTAATGGAACTCAAGGCTCCTAGCATACTAGGCAGGCACTCAATGAACTGAATTTTAAAGTTATTTTGTCTCTTTTAGTTCCTTTGCTTTTCCCTATTATGATTTAGAGTGATATTGTATTAAATACATATAAATAGTTTGGAAGATGACTGAATTTTTTTTTTTTTTTAATTGTCTCCCTGTAGTCCCAGCCAGCCTGGAACTTAGCTGTGTAGACCAGGCTGCCCTTGATCTCACAGATAGCCTCTTGCCTCTGCCTCCCCAGTGCTAGGGTCAAAGGTATGCGCCATCATATTGGCAGGAACTGATGGGGTTTTTTTTGTTTTTTTGTTTGTTTTTATATATATGAGTATATTCCCTGCATGTATGTAGTGCATCCATGTCATGCAATGCCGAGGAGGTGAAAAGAGGATTTTGGATTTCCCTGGAACTGGATTTAATGACGGTTCATAGCTGCCATGTGGTTGCTGGGAATCGAACCCAGGTCCTCTGCAAGAGCAGTCTTAACACTCTTAACAGCTGAGCCATCTCTCCAGCCCCTGATATTTTTAATAATACTGAATTTTCCAAACTGTGGGCATGGTATGGTGTTACACATTTTATGTTTATGGTGCTTTAAAATGTTTAATTTCTGAGGGACTGGAAAGATGGCTTAGCAGTTAAGAGCACATGTTGCTCCTTCAGAGGACTGGAGTTTATTTCTCAGCACCTACTTTTGGGGGCACTCACAATGGCCTATAATTCCTGCTCCAGTGGGTCTGAAGCCACTGGCCTCTGCATACCACCTGCACATATGTGCACATGCTCACACATACATACTACAACACATCACATAAATAAAAATAAAATATCTTAAACAAGAAAGTTTAGTTTCTAGGCCAGAGAAATGACTCAGCAGGCAAAGACTTGCTATCAAGCCTGAGTTTAGTCCTCAGAACTTCCAGTGGTAGAAGGAGAGAATCAATTCCCACAAATTGTCCTCTGACCTCCTTGGCAGACACATGGACATACACAGGCAGACATATCCACACAAAATAAAAACAAACATGAATAAATATAAGACAAAAATTTTTTAAGTTAGTTTCTAATTGTTTAGTGCTGAAGTATAGAAATACCATTGTTTTTTGTATGTTGACTGTTTTTAGCAACCTTTTGAAGATGACTCTTGAATTTTTTTTTTCATTCCTACCTCAGGAAACCGTTATTGAATATGTCAATTGTGTTGTAATGATATGCTTCTTCTAAGTATGTTGTTATTAAATAAATTTTTTTTTTTAAATTTAAAAAAAAAAAAGCATTTTATTTTATTTTTTGGCCTTTTTGAGACAGGGTCTCTCTGTAGCCCCAGCTGGCCTGAAACTCACTTTGTAGACCAGGCTGGCCTTGAACTCACAGAGATGCACCTGCCTCTGCCTCCCGAGTACTGGGACTAAAGGCATGTGCCACCATACCCGGGAGTATTTTATTATTTTTATTTTATGTGTATGAGGGTATACCTGTATGTACGTAAGTGCACCTGTATCATGCAGTGCCTGAAGAGGTCAAGAAAAGGGCATGAGATTTCATTGGACCTGGAATTATGAATAGTTGTTAACTGCCTTGTGGGTGTTGGGAATCAAACCCAGGTCTTCTGGAAGAGCACCCAGTGCTCTTAACCTTAGAGTCTCTCTCTCCAGCCCCTGATTAATTCTGATAGATTTTTTTTCTCTTTCATTTTATTAATATTTGGTAGGATTTGGAAGAGGGTGTTGAGATAGATTCACAATTTTCCTGAGTGGCCTACAATCCGGCGTGTAAACCAGGTTGGACCAGTTTGGTTTTGAACGCCACAGAGATCTGCCTGGCTCTAGTCTTCTAGGATTAAAGGCACATATACTCTGCCTAAAATTTTTATTTTCAATTATGTGTATATGTGAGTACAGTGCCCTTGGAGGTCAGAAGAGGAGTTTAACATGGTTTTAAGCTTCTGAATGTGGGTGCTAGAAACCAAACATGGGTCCTTTCCAAGAGCAGTTTCTTCAACCCCCAGCCCTCTCTTTTGAAGGGGATGCTAAGGATCAAATTCGGTGCCCTGTGCATTCTAGCCAAGGGCTCTATGAGCTATGGGCCTTTTTCTTTCCTTTGTTGTCACTTCCTGCCCCCTTCAAGATTCTCATGCAATATCACTCTGAAGCCCTATGTAATAATTCCTCAGTTCTAGAAAATGTGCATATTTCTTTTGCTCTCATCTAGCCCCAAACTTGATTGAGGTCAGTTTAGAGTTAAAAAGACAGCTCATCACAACAGTATAGCAGTATTGATATAAGTAATAACTTTGTTCATATACATATCAAAGTGGCCAGTCATGAGACCTTACCTTACACAAAAAGAGATTTTTCCTAGACAAGTAGATTATAGGCCATTGTTACTTCGTACTCCATATAGTTTTAAGTCAGGCATATGTATTTTAGTAAGATTTTAGTTTTGTTTTGCTTTTTGAAACTACTGCATACTTGTCTTAGGGGCTGGTAGGTTGTATTGTCCTTTGAGATTGAAAGTCTCTAAAGTAGATTTTATTTTAGGGAGTAATTGATTCGGAAAGAATGGATTTTGAGCTGTTGCCAGATGATGAACGGCAGTGTATAAAATGCAAGACTACGTGCTTCATGTCTGCCATCTCCTGCTCTTGTAAACCTGGCCTGCTTGTTTGTCTTCATCACGTAAAAGAATTATGTTCCTGCCCCCCTTATAAATATAACCTTCGGTAAGTTGGGAAAGCATTGAATCATTCTTTTCTTCTCTCTCTTTTGGTATGTTTGTGTATATGTACACTGTGTGCACGTTTATGTATAAATGTGGTTGCACACGTGCACAGTGTGCATGACAGAGGATATCCTCACTGTCCATCTGGTCTGAGACAAGTTTTCTTCTGTTGTTCACTGCAGTACACACCAGGCTCGCTGACCCATTAGCTTCCAGGGATTCCTCTTGTCTCCATCTCCCATGTCACCATAAGAATGCTAGAATTACAGATGCATGCTATAGTGCCTAACTTTACATGAGTTCTGGGGATTCAAATTAAGGTTCCTGTGCTTGCATGTCAAGCTCCTAATACACTGAGCCATCTCTCTCCTGCCTGTACTGAATCTTTACTAAAAGCTCAGTGACATCTCTTTTCCAAGCCTGAAATGTCAAGGATAAAACATGTGGTTTTCTCTAAAACCACCTGTCTCAAAACTGTCCGATGTTCTGTTTCCAGGTATAGATACACTCTGGATGATCTCTATCCTATGATGAATGCATTGAAACTTCGAGCAGAGTCTTACAATGCGTGGGCCTTGAATGTGAATGAAGCTTTGGAAGCAAAGATCAATAAGAAGAAAAGTATGTAATATAGAAAATGTGACTTGCTAACCAATAAAGTAGAGTTGGATTGTGATGTAGCCAACTTTAAGTTATGAACAAAATGGATTTCTGAAAATAATCTGATTTTATTCTTAGCTCCTCTGTTCAGGTTTCTAGATCATTGGCAGAGGTTTTAGAACCAAAAGTGGATGAGGCAGGTTGCCTAAATGAAGTCTTGGCTATTAGGATTGTGAAAGATGGTTTTACAAAAATCTTATTTTTGGAAAATATAAGGGCTAGTAAGATGGCTTCATGGGTAAAGGTGCTTGCTATGCAAACCTGGTGTCCTGAATTTGATTCTTGGAACCCATGTAAATGTAGAAGGAGAAAGAACCAACTCCACAAGGTTGTCTTCTGATTTCCACATGGAACCCCTCCCCCGAATGATTAAGACCCTTTTATTTATGTCCTTTATTATTATTTTTTTTATTTTTGTTTTTATCTGTGTGCTTGTATTGCCTGCATGTAGGTCAGTGCATCCATGTCCTGCAGTGCCCACAGAGGTCAGAAGTGGCTGTCAGATCTCCTTCGACTGGAGTTACGGACAGTTGTTACCTGCCATGTGGGTGCTGGGATTCGAACCCAAGTCTTCTGCAAGAACAACCAGTGTTCTTAACCTCTGAGCCATCTCTCCAGCCCCTATGTCCTTTATTTTTAAAAACATTATTTGAAATGCAGTATAATATTAGAAGTCTCAGACATACTGGCTTAACAATTCTTAGTTCTAATCAAAGTTTAATGTCCCTAGCATTTATCATTACCTTTCAGAGTCACTACTTTCTACCCATCCTTTTCAAAGTCTTTGCTTGCTTTCCTTCCTAGCTCAGGAGGTGATTTTCCCCTTTTCATTTCGAGGAAGGGAGCAATACTACCAGTTACAGTTACATTTATGGAAAAGAATTGATAAAAAACCCACCCCTCTTTTCTCCATTTCTAACAATAATTCTAAACTTAATGATTATAGAAAAGGCGGCCATTTTCTTTATTCATAGGTCTTGTCAGCTTTAAAGCGCTAATTGAAGAATCAGAAATGAAGAAATTCCCAGACAATGATCTTTTGCGCCACCTTCGCTTAGTCACACAGGATGCAGAGAAGTGTGCCTCTGTTGCCCAGCAGTTGCTCAATGGCAAAAGACAAACTAGGTATGTATTTCTGTCTGTTGGAGATTGACATCTATAACACCTAAACCTAGAGACCTATTGTGATTGATTTTTTTCCTTCTGTCCTGGATTTATGTGATACTGGAAGCTATGAGTAATCAATGTGTATGTTCTCATATAGCGTCCTTGGGCTCTTGTCTTGATAGATACCGATCTGGTGGAGGAAAATCTCAAAATCAGTTGACAGTAAATGAACTCCGACAGTTTGTGACTCAGTTGTATGCTCTTCCATGTGTTCTCAGTCAAACACCTTTACTAAAGGTAACCATATATGGAAGGTTCTGTGGGAATACTTGGACTTGGGCAGCTTCATAATTTATAAACTCAATTGACATTATTAACCTTCTTTGGTTGTTAATTTGGGTGCTAATTTGTAAATATTTGTATTTTATGTTTTATTATGTTTATTTATGTGTATGTGTGTATGCAGGTACTTCTAGAGGCCAAAAGAGAATGTCAAATTCCCTAGACCTAGACTTATAGGTGGTTGTGAGCTGCCTGATGTGGGTACAAGGAACTGAACTCAGGCCCCCTGGAAGAACAGCAAGTGCTCTTAAATACTAAGCCATCTTTCCAGCCTGATGATTTGCAAATATTTGAATGACACATTGATATTTATGAGTATAGTGAGTGAGGATAAGGAGATTATTAAAATAGGCCAACAGAGGCAAGATAAAGTTGGATTTGGGGGGGAGGTTGGTTTTTTTTTTTTTTTTTGAGACAGGGTCTCCCTGTAGCCCTAGCTGGCCTGGAACTCACTATGTAGGACCAGGCTGGCCTTGAACTCACAGAGATCTGCCTGCCTCTGCCTCCTGAGTGCTGGGATTAAAGGCCTGCGCCACCACACCTGGCTTTGTTTTTTTGAGGTATGGTCTCCCTGTAGCCCCAGCTGGCCTAGAACTCACTAAGTAGACCAGGTTGGCAGAGCTCCTCCTTCCTCTGCCGCCCAAGTGCTCCCAAGATATGTACTACCATGCCTGGCGAAAATTTTAGTATGAAAGTGACCACTGACAAACTTGTAATCTCAAACACTTAGAGGCTTGAGGCAGGAGGTTGCCACAAGTGTGAAGCCATCCTGGGTAGAGAGACCCTATCTCTAAAACAAAACTGTGGGTCTAGAGTGATGGCTCAGTACTTATGAGCTCTTGCTACACACCCATGAGGACCAGAGTTTGAATCCTAGCGCTCATGTAGCAAACGGAGCATCCTACACATGTCTGTAACCCCAGTTCCCAGGGGTACAGAGACAGGAGGATTGCTCAGGTTTGCTGGCTTCCAACCTAGCTGTGAAAGCACAAGCCCTAGGTTCAGGGAGAGAGCTTTTATCAAAGAAATAGAGGACACCTAATGCCCTTTTCTGGTCTTACACATATGAAGTGTTGCATGCACCCTTCATAAACATGTACACATACACTCACATAGACACATATCACATACTCAATTTAAAAAAATAAGTGCCCACTAGCTAGTTCTTGGAATTGGTATAAGATTTCTGTTCCACAAGTTCTTGTTTTAGCTATCACTTGACTTACGTATTACCTCATTTACCTTTATTATATAAATCAAGTGGGTTGGTGGAGGATACATTAGCTATGAGCTTCAGATATAAAATTTGAAAGACGCTGGGCGTGGTGGCGCACACCTTTAATCCCAGCACTTGGGAGGCAGAGGCAGGTGGATCTTTGTGAGTTCGAGGCCAGCCTGGTCTACATAGTGAGTTCTAGGACAACTGGGGCTACAAGGAGACCCTGTCTCAAAAAAGATTAAAAAAAAAAAATTGAAAGACACATTACTGAAGTGCTGTTTTGATGGAACACCTTCTATTGTTTTTGTTTTGCATGCTTGTTCTCTTGTAGGAACTCTTGAATCGTGTAGAAGATTTCCAACAGCATAGCCAGAAACTACTCAATGAGGAAATGCCTAGTGCTGCTGAGCTGCAAGACTTGCTAGATGTCAGCTTTGAATTCGATGTTGAACTTCCACAGCTTGCTGAGATGCGTATTCGCCTAGAACAGGCTCGATGGCTAGAAGAGGTGCAACAAGCTTGCATAGACCCCAGTTCCCTTACTTTAGATGATATGAGACGCCTCATAGATTTAGGGGTAGGGCTGGCTCCATATTCAGCAGTGGAGAAAGCTATGGCCCGCCTACAAGAACTGCTTACAGTGTCAGAGCACTGGGATGACAAAGCCAAGAGTCTTCTTAAGGCAAGGTAAAAAAAAAAAGGCAAAACTTATATTTCTTCTTGGGGGACAATAGTTCCATTTTAGAGGATAGCTCATAGGAATCAGCATTTGGCTAGTGTTCATATGCTACAATTATCCTTATAGAATACCTATGGAAATAGCTGAACTCTTTAGGCTTGCTTTGAAAATTGGTAAAGAAAATTGTTGCTTTATTGCTTATGAAAAAGATGATTTAAATGGACATGAGTTTTCTAAAGATAAGCTTAAATGAAATTCCCTTGGATGGTACTGTTTTTGAGAGAAGAAAAAGCTTACAAATAGGTGAACTGCTTAAACCTGCAGTTAATAAATTAAATCCAAGGATTCATAAAAGAGAAATGTCTTGAAAGTTGACGTGCATTATTCATGTAATAATGATAATACAGAGTAATTTTCAGGAGAAATGGGGCTATATGTTTATAGCATTGCAGTAAGTCATCCTGTTTTGTCCATATTAGAGGTAATAGATTGAATGCAGGCTAACCATCAGAGAAGAGGAGAAAATGAAGTCATTTCCTAAGCTTACTTTTTATATGACAGATCCTTATTAGTTGACAACATTAAAAAAGTCGAGGTTCTAGTCATTGTTTTGTAATCTTAAAATAGTGTCATTGAACAGAGAAGGTATGAAATGTTTTGGTGTGCTTTGAGGGGGGACGGTCTTTTTTGAGATAGTGAACTCACTATGTAGACCAGGCTGGTCTTGAACTCACAGAGCTCTGCCTGCCTTTGCCTCCTGGGTGCTGGGATTAAAGGCGAACACCACCACGCCCGGCTTGTAATTTTAATTTTCTTAATGAAACTGATTACTGACTTTTTTTTTCTGACTTAACAAAGAAGAAATTATCCATTTAGTAAGTTTGTGGTTATACCATCATAAAATCAGGAACAGTTAGAGCTTACATGCTGGTTAAAACTCTGGAACTATGTGGTGGTGCACTCCTTTAGTCCCAGCACTCAGGAGGCAGGGGCAGGCGTATCTCTGTGAGTTCCAGGCTAGCTGGTGCTACAGAGAGACCCTGCAAAAAAAAAAAAAAAAAAAAAAAAAAAAAAAAAAAAAAAATCTGGAACTGGAGAGATGGCTCAGTGGTTAAAAGTGTTTACTGCTCTTGCATAGGAAGTTCAGTTCCTGGCACCCTCGTACAGTGGCTCACATTGCCTGAAACTCCAGCTTTAGAGGATCTTATGCCCTCTTTTGGCCTCCATGGGTACCCCCCCCCACATACAATAAAATAATTAAGATATTACTTGCTCTTAAATCTTAACCACTTGAAAATGAGTTAATTTAATATGTAGTATTTAGTGCTGTTAACAATTTGTTTTTTGCCATGGTGAATTTCTTTAGAAATGAGTGAATCTTTTTTTAGAAATCATGTTTCTAATCTTTGATAGCTGTAAAAAAAAAAAAAAAAAGTGCTGATGAGCCTTTGTATTTTACTTTTGTAGACCCCGGCATTCCCTCAGCAGCCTTACTTCGGCAGTGAAGGAAATTGAGGAGATCCCTGCATATCTGCCCAATGGTGCAGCCCTAAAAGATTCAGTGCAGAGAGCCAGAGACTGGCTTCAAGATGTAGAGGCTTTGCAGGTTGGTCAAATAAAAAAAAAAAAAAATTCTAACTGTATACATGTATCTGTTGTCAGTCAACTGGCTGTGGTTCTTTTACTCTACCTGGATAGAAAGTGTAGGTTGGAGGTTTTCAGATGCTGGTCTTTATCAGCTTTTGTTTCCCTTAGTGTTTGACAGCAATGAGAGAAGGAGCAGGCAGATGGAAGCAGGCACAGGTTGCAGACCTCAGGCAGTTAAACTCTTAGCCCAAAAGTGTTAAAATTCTCAGCCTGGGGTCTGAGACCCTTGATCCTAAAGTCTCAAACTTGTAATGACTATGGCCTACAGGTTTTCTCTCTGGCTCCTTATAGCCTATTGTCTCTTGACTTTGTACTTCTGCTTCTTGTTTTCTTACCCTGGCTGCTGTCAAGCTTTTCAACTGTTTCTTAGTTGGCAATAGATGTTGCCAGGATTTACGGTGGTTGCCTCTTTGTCAGGACAGCATAAAGGAGCCAGGGCACCTGTCCTTACTGTTGCCACTGTTTCTCTTGCTTCCTTCTTGGTGATACCAGTTCAGACTGCACTACTTAATGGTAGGAAAGGAGAGAGAGAAATCTCTTAAACTTGGTCTAGCAACACAAGGGGAGGCAGCACAGAAGTGTCTCCCAGTTGAAATTGACTCTAAAGGAGCTTGAGGAGTCTTTTTTTGTTGTTGTTAATATTTATTATTTTTACTTTATTTTATATGTATGAGTATGTTGCCTGCATATATGTAAGTGCACTCATGTTGTGCAGTGTCCACAGAGGTCAGAAGAGGGTGTCAGATGCCCTGGAACTGGAGTTTCGGACAGTTGTTAGCCGCCACGTGGATGCTGAAAACTGAATCTGACTCCTCTGCAAGAGCAGCCAGTGCCATTAACCACTGAGCCATCTCTCCAGCCCAGGAGTCTGTTTATGTAGCTAAAATGGAAATTTTTAGCCCAATCACAGTCATTAAGGCTTGACATGGACCAATCACAACCTTGCCACCAGTCACAGTACTCCATCCACCTCAGGAAGTGTTCCTTCTGGTCATGGTAGAAATGGTTTGAGGTTTATCATTGTAAAATGTCCAATACAAATCATTTCAAACAGTTCCATATGTGATTGTACCTTTAGGAACCAATGTACTCAGCTGCAGTGTTTTGCACAGTTGTCCAAAGGCATCTCAAGTATTGAAGATGGCTGTTGCTGGCATAATGGTGGTCTGGATGGTAGACTGACAGTCCTTTGCTCAAGGCAGCTTGGGCAGCAAGAGACAGTTCAATAGCTGCTAAGAAAGGATTCATATTGCTCCACTGGAACATCTTTGCTTACTGGCAGGAAAAAGACCATCAGAAAGAGTGCTTGGTGTGTAAACTTACAGATCATTAATATTAATAGCACTTTAAACAATTTCTAAAAAGCATTTATCTTGCATATGGAGGTACACATGTGCAACGTTGCCTGTGTGGAGGTCAGAGGACAGCTTGTGGGAGTCTGTTCTCTCCTTCCACTTTGAGGGTTCTGGTTTTTTGAGATAGTTTCCTTTGTAGCCTTGGTTGTCTTGAACTCTTGCCTCAACCTCCAGACCTGTGATTCCCTGTTGTAAGCTTGTCTACATTAGAGGTCAGACACTCATGAGTAATAGTTAATCTTCTTATATGATAACATGGTCAAACTAGGCTCCCAAGACCCAGAATTTTCATTACATAGTCACTTGATGAACAAAAGTAATCTGCCCAACCTTGAAAAGGAAAAGAAACTTTCAAGTAAACTCTTCAAACATTTGTGGTCTTTTACTAGATGTTATACTTAGTGACTTGCATGTAAATCTGAAGAGAGAAAAATTCACTTGTGACATAGTAAGGTAAAGAAAGAATGCTTTCTTTGGTTTACCCAGTTTTTAGCTGGCTAACTTAATTTTAAAAGTGGTTAATGGAAAAGATCTATTCAGAAAATAGTGGTCTTAGACTTTTTTTGTTTAGTTGAAACCTTCAGATTCTAATATAAAATACTGGTTTTCTTTATACTTGTGAATTTTGGTGTGTATGTGTATGCAAATGCATGTATATGTGTGTGCGGGTGTGTATACATGTATGTGAAGGCCAGAGGACAGCTTTAATTGTTCCTCAGATGCTGTCTACATGTTTTAAAATACACTTTATTTTCATTTTATGTGTATGAGTGTATTGCCTGCATATATGTAAGTATACCCATGTCATGCAACACCCACAAAGGTCAGAAGGGGACATTGTATTCCCCTGGAACTGGAATTATGGACAGTTGCTAGCCACCATGTGGGTGCTGGAACTCAAACCCAGGTCTTTTGCAAGAGCAGACAGCCCCAGCTGTCTACATATTTGTGTAATTTTAAAAATAAGATATCTTAGCCAGGTGTGGTGGCACATGCCTTTAATCCCAGCACTTGGGAGGCAGAGGCAGGCAGATCTCTGCAAGTTCAAGGCCAGC